TCAGTATCATCCAAGTATCTACATTTCAAGTCTTGAGCTGCAATCTTTAACGTAAATTACCTGGTTTATAATAACTGGATAAATGCTTATTTTTAATCCCATAAAAACTTGACATAATATAAAAAAAAAATAGGAAGAATAATCAATTTTAAAACTGAGTCCACAAGAGGAAACTGATCTGGAATCATCATTTGTAAGAGGAATACAAAGTTCCTAAACACACAAAAGGCTAATGTGCTTAACATGTATATAGTTTTTTAAATAACTTTATTCTACCAACAACGTTCTCTTACCTATTTGACAATATGAAATTAACTCTCAACATTTGGCAAACAATTGTTCACTGCACTACCATCAATGTGAAGAGAAAAACTTATTAGCATGTATTAATGTGATCAAAATAAAAGCCCAAATGCTTGTCAGAAAATCTTACTTTGCCTCCCAGCACAAGAATCCTAAATTTCCTGTCCTTGGCCAATATAAGGTTCACAGTAAGCATAATAATTGTCACAAATAATAAGAGAGCAAGCAGCTACAAGTTATCAGAGAAAGTAAAAAGTTTGGTGAAATCAAAACAAAGTTATAATTACCTTAAAACTCTTAATAAGGTAAACTACACTTTTTGTTGTTGTCTAAAGCCATTCCTACCAGAACATAACAATTTTATAACAGGATAAAACTACTAGAAATATAGAGTCCTTTTTCACACAACCGAATTTCATGTTAGATGAAAGACTGAATTACAGAATGAAAAAAGAAGAAAGATTTAAGACAGGCAAAAAAATCTCAGGCCAATCCTAATCCCACAAAACATCAAAATCTTGTAGTCAACTTTTATTTTCAGAACGCTTCTTTTTGTCTGAGTTTGGAATTATAGTATAATCAAGTGCAGATATATGCATATTCCTAAGATATCAGATACCACTGGGCAACCAGAAAAGTAAACTCTGGAAATGGCCAGCAGAATATTAAGCTGTAAAAATAAGAAACTTAAAACATCAGAAAAAGAGAGAGGAGAAAAGCCCAACAAAATCTCAGTAAGGAAAAATATTGCCTACCATGCAAGACTAAGTACCACAATGTCAGTTAAAGAAAGTGGGAAAAGTCTGCCTATACATAACAGTAGCTTCTAAGTGAACGCCAAAATGAATGGTTAAAAATCTCGCTACAATATTTTCTTCACCAAACATCAAAAGGCAAAGGTGGTGTTCACAAAGCATTAGTTATAACTCCAAGTCTTTCATGATGCATACAGCTCTACTTTCAAACTGCCTCCCTAAGATACTTATATGCCAGTATCACTACAGTTGGGTTCGGTACGGAAATAACATTTTCTTATCCTTTAAATTATTCCTGGAGAAAGGACATCAATCAAGCAATTCAAACCTGTAGAAGGGGAATCCGCAAATTTGAATTGGTAATTTATCAAGCTTCTGAATTCGCTGCAAAGATACTTTGGTGTATATATATATATATATATATACACACACACCTACAGTCTACTTGCCTCCTCATCTTCCTACCCTCCAAAGATTCCAATAAAGCATCAAAGTCTCAAATGCTTATTTCTTCTTGAAAACGACCACAATGCCCCGCTACCCTCACCACCTCCTCCTCATCGTTCTTTTTTACTCAACCCTTAACACAATACACCACATCCACACCACCACACGCTCCACACCCACACTGCATACAGCACACACTCTCCTCATGGAACAACCCAAAACTCCTGACCCAAAACACCCATACTTAATAGCCCCACACTTAATACCACCAAATTATACACATTCCCCATATAATACAAGAAACACTACACAGTCCACACACAAAATAACCCCAATATCAAACACCCTTCAGCCTACAAATCCCATTCAAGCCGTACATAACACATTCTACACACACTCAACACAGCATATGAATTACACGTTCGCCCATGGCTCACAACGCGCGCGCGCGCACACACACCCCAAGCCACGTACCGTATGAAAGCCCAAACCACACACCACTGCAGTGCTCAAACAAACGCTGGGGAGAGGCCACCCTTCTGGCCTCGGGAACCCACGAGGTTGGAGACGGGAGGGGAACCGGGCCAGATACTTCACCTGAAAATCCGCCAGGATCATCTCCCGGTCCATGTTGGACGCCATGGCGGCCGCCGAATTCCGCGGCTCCGGGAGCGAAGCGCGCACCTGGGAGGGAGACGGCGCCTCC